GCGAGGGGGGGTATGTGGCGGCCTGCAGCCAGGACGGGATTGCTCATGGCAAAGCATCTCCTCGAGCGCGGGATACTGTCCCCTCCCGCCAGCCAGCATGTGGGGACCAGATTTCCCTCCACCCTGCCAGGCTGTCCCATCGCGTCCCACGCCAGCGCAAGCGTTGCTGGAACACAGAGGCTTTCCAGGCTGCAACAGCCATGACCTGCACTGGGTATCCCCCACCTTGGGGGACCCCCCCATGCCCATCCTGGGGCATCCCATCAGCACCTCGCTCACCCCAAAGCTGTGGAAGGGCCCAGCCCTGGGTGATACACGTGGTGGTGACTCCAAGGTCCAAGAGCCCAAGCCCTTGGGTCTCTGAGGGTTTTGCCAGGTCCAAGCCCAGCTGCCCACCACCCCTGGCTGGATGCGAGAGCAGCCCCCACCCAGGGCTGTGTGCACCCATCCTGTGCCAGCGCGGGGATGCCATGAGCACCACTGGTGGAGGTCAGGGCCAATGGGTACACTGGCTGGCATGGAGAGCCAGACCAATGCCATCCCAGTGCAGCCGGGCACTGGGGAACAGTCCCCATCCCTATAGCATCAGGTGGGACCCCGATTTCGGCCACAGCTTCAGGCTGAGCCCCCAGTGAGCAGGGTGGCCGTGGGGCCACCTCCTGAGCAGGGACAGCACGGAGCAGGAGCTCACTAGGGCATTTGGAGCAAATCATCCAAAAAGGACACTTTTCACTGAAAATGTTATTTTCCCCGCTGTCCCCTTGTCCCCTCTCAACCCGGACCTACTGCAGCTGGGACACAGCGCAGGGGATGCCGGGATGTGTGGCAGCCCCCGGGTCCATCCAGAGCATCAAAGCGAGAGCCTTGACAGCCAGCCCAGTGTGTCCCCACACTGCCAGCCCCAAGCAGGTGACAAACCAGCATCCCCCACCTCCCTGGGAAGGACAGGGGTGCCAGGCAGCACCCCGCAGCTGGGGACACCACCACTGTCCTGCCGGTCCCCGCAAGATGTGTGATGCACTGACGGGGCTCCCTGGCCAAGGGGATGGGTGTCCTCCCCTGATTTATTTCACGAAGGCTCCCCGTAAAGTGGGTCAGCCGGCAGCAGCATCCCGTCCGGGCTGCCGGCCACTGGCGGGGCTGCCGTGGGATGGAGCCAGGCATGGCCGCGCCATGCGCCGGCGCTTTGCTCTCCACACCGGGCACCCCATGAAAGGCGGTGTGGGGCCAGGCTGCGGCCGGGAGGCCAGACGGTATCCGACGGCGGCGGGGCTGAGTCGCCCTAACGAGCGTAACTCTGCCTCCGCGGGAGGAAGCCAGAGCGGGCCAAGTATTTCTGCCGCCGTTTGCGGCGACGGGCCCCGGTGGGGGGAAGCCGGCAGAGCTGCTGGGGCTGGCGCCCGTGCCGGGGTGGGATCTGCTCCCCAGGGGTGGTCTCCCCCCGCCAAGGTTTTCCTGCCTGCAGCAACTTGTTTTATTGAGTGGGAAAATGTCCATGGATCTCCTCACTACCCAACACCCCAGGGATGTGAGTCCTCCCCGGGGATGCTCTTGGGACCAGCAAACCAGCAGCCCTTGGAGGGGAGCACTCTGTACTGGCTGCCTGGCACTACCCGTCCGGCCACTGTCCCTGCGTGGGCACAGCCAGCTGGAGAGGCGGCAGCCGGCACAGGGCTGGGAGATGGAGCTCCCTGGAACAGCCCAGCCTGGGAAAGGGGTGCTGAGCACCCCCAGGCTTCCCTGGCCGGGTGCTGAGCCTCGTCTGGGCGGGCAGTGGGGAGGGAGACCTGCCTGGAGCTCCATCCCCACCGCCTGCCTGCTCTTGGTGACCTCTGCTAGAGCTCCTCGAGCTGGGACAATTTGGCCCAGGTGACTGCTCAGTGATGCCTGGCGCGACGCAGGAGCTACAGAAAGCAGACGGTCCCTACAAGGGCTGTGCCTTCTGCCAGGAGGAGCTGGCAGGGACAGCCTGGGGTGGCCTGGCCCAAAGCATGTCCCCAGAACATGCCCTTTCCTACCTTACAACATCTGGAGAGAGGCACAGCATCATCCTCATGGGCTGGGCTCAAGACCAGCATCATCATCCAGGCAGCTGCCCACAGGGCTGCGGTAGGCAGGGCTGTTGCTGGACTCACCTGCCCAGTGCCCCTTGCTCTGCTCCTCCTGTGCCAGGGCCAGCACCAGCACTGCCAGGTCCGGGGGACCCGGAGGGGGCATCGCGGCTCGGCCCTGGGGAACGGCGGGTCCTTCTCCTGGCACTGCCGGGGGTCCTTCACCCCCAGCCCCGCTAGCTGTGGCAGCTTACCTGGGAGCTTAGGAGCTTTGATGGGATACCCCAGAGGGACACCGGGCTGCTGACCTCCAAAACCTCCCAGTCCTGCAAAGCCAACAGCAGACTCTCACCTGGAGCCCGCGCCCAGGCTGCCACCAGTCCTTGCGAGGGGGGAGCGCCCCAGGGCACCCCGAGAGAGGAGAGTGGGCGGCGTGGGAAGCCCTGAGGCATCTTCTGGCATGGGGAGGCCATGGCTGTGAGGAACAGGCTTGGGAAGGAAGAGAAGGATGGGCGAGAGAGACGGAACACTCACCGGGGATTCCTGCGAAGGCTCCTGCTCCTAGACAGAAACACAAAGGCACCGTGTGAGCCTCAGGGCTTGTCCTCGGGGTCCCAACTAGTCTGTGTGGGCTCAGCCGGAGGTGGGCTTCACTCGCCCACATGCCCTATAGGGCTGCGACCCCACAGGATGGGCTGGAGCCAGCCCCAGCAGGATGGGGACGTGGGCAGAGCTGGAGCCAGCCCTGGACCCTCCCTCCACCCCGGTGTCCCCAGGGCATCGAAGGGACCTACCTGGAACTTTCGGCTTGACTCCAGCACCGGTGGGCACTCCGGGCAGCACCCCTACGCCGGGGAAGCGGACACCTGTAGCAGAGACCAGAGGGTGAGGTGAGCGCAGTGGGGCGGCGTGGTGTTGCTGGTACCCGAGACCCCTGCACCCGGCTCCCAAATCCCCATCACCCATCTCTGGCTCAGCACTACCCCTCGTACACTGGGATAGAGTACCCTCATTCCCCGGGGGCTTGCTGGGACCCCCCGACCCCGTGCCAGCCCCCTCGCCCCCCCTGGGCAGAGCTGCCAGAGAAGGGTTTGCTCCAGCCCTGGGGTTGCCTGTGATTTTGGGGGAATGGAGGGGGGGTGTGTGTGTGCAGCCCACGCAAGAGTTTGGGGTACCTGCAGGCACTCAGGAGCAGGTCCCACTCGTGACAGCAAAGCACCAGCCCACGCCATGGCGTAGCCGAGCCCGGGCATTGCTCTCTGCCCCGGTGATGTCCAGTGGCTTCATGCAAGCTGGGGCTCTTTGGGGAGCAGGAGGGGGGGTCCTACCCGCTGCTCCCTGACCCTCCGGGGGCAACAGGCAGCACTTTGGCCTTGCAGTCATTTGGGTTGGGTTTTCAGTGTTGGGATTTTTTTTGTTTGTTTGTTTCTTTTTTCCCCCCCTTTTACAAATGTCTTTCATTATAACTCACGCATTTGCAGACATGGAAAAGACATTCCTGACCAGCAACACACTTCTCCTTCTGACAATGTCGAAACATCTTGTTTTCACAAGTTTTCCTCCCCCAAATTACTTTGCAGTGAGGAATTCCTCTTCCCCCCACCCCCACCCCCTC